TTCGGTTTTTGCTTGCAGGTTAATGGCACCAACGAGATTCACAAATCACATTCAACCAGGAAATTTCCGCCATGAGAAACATTCACAGGCGGGAAGAAGACAAGGCACGAAGGATTGGGAAATAAAAGAATTTTTTCTGGAGCGGAGCTTTTTCGTGAAAAGAAGGTTGCGGTTTGCGTCTGATTTCTTTCCTGAAGAAGGCAGAAGCGGAGGATTTCTGCAATTTCTGCGAAAGACAGAGGTGTTCGAGCGGAGGAGGAGCAGAATTGGAAGGGTGGACGCAGAAAAGGGGGAATCTGTTGCTGCACTTGGAAAAGGAAAGCTGGAGGCTGCCTGATTTGAAGGAAATCAGTATTAGCCCTTTTGTGATATTCCAGGACGCGAAATTGCAGACGCGGGTTTCAGAATTGCAAGAGCTTTTCTAGAAGGAAAAAATGAGCTTTTCTGGAAAGCGAAAATGGAGTCTTTCTGAGAAGGAAAGCAGAGCTTTTTTTGAAGCAAAAATGAGCTTTTCTAGAAAAAGGAGGTATAACTTTTCTTGAAAGTTTAAGAAAAATGATTTCTGAGAAAATTTAATTAATGAAAAGTTTTTTTTTTCTGGGAAACTTAATTAAGAGAATTTTAATTAAGGGATTATTTAAAAGATTTGTGGCAGAATCAAAGCGAGTGCAATTTTGGGCTCAAACAATTTGGAAATTCAGCAGAGGAATTTGTATATGAATTTGTTGTAGGATCAATTTCAGATGACAATTTCTGGTGCAAAATTCGATGTGGTGAAGTTCGATGGAACTGATAACTTCAGATTGTGGCAAACAAGGGTGAAAGATTTGTTGGTTCAACAAAGAATCTTGAAAGCTTTGTGGGCAGCAAAACCAGATGTCATGAAGGACGAGAATAGAGAAACCATGAGAATTGTTAAAGGTGCACTAACTGTGATGAAAGGAAAGTTAACTGCATGTAATATCTATAAACTATTGAGGAGTATAGTTGTAGGTAGAGTTTACTCTGTTGAATCATATGATGAAATTAAAACATGTATGTTGACCAAGCCAAGTACTATCAACAAGTTCTTGCATTGCTTGAACTAGTTGAATGTTTGCAATTGTTGACCAACATGGTTGCCCAACCCACTTCGGTGTAAGAAGCTTCATGATGTTTTGTATTTCTCTTAAGGGGTTGGATATTCGCCAAGGTGGAGATTTATCAGGTATATGTATTTCTCCTAAGGAGCTGGATATTCTCCAAGGTGGAGATTTGTTGGGTATACACATTTCTCCTAAGGGGCTGAATATTCACCAAGGTGGAGATTTGTTAAGTATGTCTTATATACCATAAATGAGATAGATGCTGAAGCGGGGCAGAGTCCACGAGCATAGTAGAGTGGATGAATCTGTCCAATCAGGGGAGTTTCATTCTATGGGTTGGGGGTGTGGGGGCAACACCTCGCGGTTTGATATAGGGGTAATTTAAGTGATTACATATTGTATTATAGGGTTATATATATATGTCTTGTTTGTAACCCTATGTGAGGGAGATTTAAAATCTTGTATTATGTACTCTTTTCTGAATATTGAAAAGAAAGTTGCCGCTCTGCTACCAAGGATACAAATATCTTTGTCGAACCTCGTAAATTTCTGTGTGTTTTTCTGAATTTGTGTCGATTCTTGTTTTTCTTCGCCATAATTTCTCAACAATAAAGTTAGTCATGTTATTCAAATTGTAATTAAATTTTCATTGGAAATTTTATAATGGAAAATTTATTTTGGTAGCACACAATTCTTTTGTATTTATAGATCTATGTGTGAAAAGGCATATTTCACTTTTAAAAAGTGATAATAGTGTTTTTTTTTGTGTGATATTAAAAATTTGAGACTTATATGTGTAAATATGAAAGTTTAGGCTTGAGATATGTAAATACACAAGAATTGTGTGTTGTGCATCCAAATTTCCCTTTTATATTATATATTTTAAAGTAATTATATAATAAATTTGTTTATATTTAGTTATATTAAGTGATATTATAATTGATAGTTTAATAAAGATTTAAGTGATTAATACATATTTCAATTTTCATGAGTATTTGATGCTCTTCAACTTACTTGAAGAATGAGTGAATCATAAGAGCTTTATATAATTGAAAGAGCTCTTGATAAATATATTTAATAAATATTTAAAAAAATATTTTATGAAAATTGATAAATGAATTATTAAAGTATCAATGAATATTGAATTAAACTATATATAAAATAGATGAAAATTGTATTATTATAAAAATATTATGTATTTAAAATTTGGAGGTGACGATAAAATTGACTACATAATGTTTGTTTTTAGTTGGATTCTAGTTTATTAGGCATTTTTTTGGGCCGGAACTTCTATGATAAAAAAACTTTGGCCCAATTTTGAATAGATTAAGCCCAATTTTTTCTTTGGTGCAGCCCAAAATAAATTTGAGCCACTTCAAGGTGTAAATGAGGAGGGCCAGCTCGATTGTCTTATTAAGGAGCTCACTAGTTGAGCTTATCGAGCTCGAGTTTGAGCTCAAACTTGAGCTTGTTTATTAAACCAGCCTGAGCTCGTCCCGACTTGGCTCGGCGGCTTGTGTCTGTTCGATTAGCCAATCATTAGTCACTTTGATGCATTTTATGGTGAGCTCTCGTTCAAGTCTCCCCCACCTCCTTCTCGACTACCAAAGCCTTCTTCGGCAAGCTTTGGTAAAAATTTAAATTTTAGTTTGAGCTCGCGAGCCAGCTGCTATTTCTACGGGCCGAGCCCATGCTCGAACTCACAATTTATCAGACAATATGAGCTTGAGGTCAAGTCAGCTCGTTTGCAGCCCCACCCCCCCCAAAAAAAAAATACTAATAAATATGGTTACAAATCCCACCTTTTGGTGAGTAAGTTTTTGTCTAAAGTGCACTAAATGTAAATATGATAATTTATGTACTATATGTGTATGTACATTAAGATTTTGTGGCGTATTATACATTTCCCTAATTATAATACCGACTGCGACGTCCTCAACTTGAAGACCCAATGCATGCAAGACTCTGATTTTAAAATCAGTCTAAGGACGTGTTATGCTCTATATGTTGACAACATAACACCGCACCATTCGTGATCATAACAAATTTTCAAACTCTGGTTCAAAGATTTTGTGCCGCCATTCCCACTATCCCCATAAATTATTACGTCTGGTGTGCACACATCAGGACAACGAGGATGATTCGACCACATCACCGTGCATTTCATGTGGCCAGATCATCATCGATGTTCATACGTGCAGATAGAGGAGGTAATAATTTCTTCACCACCCCTATAAATTATTATGTCTGGTGTCCACATGTCCGGACAACGATGTTGATCTGGTCACGTCATCATGCATTTCATGCAGCTAGATTGTTGTCGATATCCTTACATGCAGACATTAGACTAGCGGTGTAAAAAATTGACCTAACAGGCCAACACGACTCGAACTCGACTCTAAAAATCCGAGTTAGGGTTAGCCTAAATATTTATTTAGTAGGGTTTGAATTAGAGAATTTAACCCGTTTATTATTCAGGCCAGGTTTGAATTAAACCCCAAAACCCAACATGACCCGAATAAGCATAAACTTCAAGGTCGGGTTTGAGCTAATGGGTCAAACTTAGTTTTGGGTCAGGGTCAGGTTTTAGTTTTTGACACGTTTATATTTGGGTCGGGTTCAGGTTGACCCTATTCAGGCCAGGATCAGGTCATTTTTTAATCGAACCAGAACTCGAATTGACGCAATAATTTCTCCACCATCCTTAAGGCTATCATCTATAATATAATCAAAATACAAACTTAAATATATGTATTTTATCTTCCAATCAATTGAATATAAAAAAAAAAAAAATATTTCATGAAATTTTCTTACAACTAATTTATTAATATTTCATGAAATTTTCTTACTTTCATGAAATTTTCTTACAACTAATTTATTAACTTAAAAAATTATGAGTTTATTAGGCTTTAGCTCATGTATTTATATGTCTAACATCTATATTATATTTTTTACATTTATATTACCCAAAATTCTTATGTCACATAAAAAACATGATTGTTTGCAAATTTTTAAAATGAAATACACTTTTTTTATGAATATGTAAAGTGGTAAATATTTAAAATGTGTAGGTGTTTGATATATAAATACACTTGAATTAAGAGAGCAAATGATAATTAGGGTTGTTAACAACACGATATCCAGTAAAATTTGGGGTCGGCTCTAAATCAGCTCAAATAGATTAAGTGCGGCTCGAAATCAGAAATTGGTTTGTGGCACGTCAAAATTGAATCGACCTTGATCTGGCTCAAAATCAAAATGAACCGGCTCAAAGTGAGCTATTGACTTATTTTGAGTCATTTCAACATGAAATCAGCTAAAAATCGAAACTAGTTAGCCCAAATTGAGTTAGTTGGATCCGTTCCAACTCGAATTTGGTTCTTGGCTCGTTATATTCAATTTAATATATACAATTTTTATAAATAAATATTTTTTCGAGCTGAACTCTAACCAATATGAGTCGATCCATGTACAACTCTACATTGACTCAAAAAAAAAAAAAATAAAAATCGATCTGAAGCTTCAGCTCCTAATTCAACTTATTTATTTTGATTCAATTTCAATCCGAGCCAAAATTTCAATTCATTCGAACTATGCTCACAACCTATTTACATTCATGTTTTTTTTTAACATTTATAATATACATATAAGGGTTCAACGTACTAAAATTGGCTCTATTTGTGATTTAATTAAGCCGGCTCAATTTGACTCGAAATTCATCTGTTCCGAACCGCTTCGCGAAGATTAGAGTCAGATATAGAGTTTGTTTGGGACTATCGTAACTGTTTGAAGAAACAACTGTAAAATTTATAAAGCTGTAAAGTTGATGTACAAGAAATCGTTGTTTGGAAAGTTGTATTATTTATTATAAAAGATTTCAATTCTTTTCAACTTTTATTTTTCTTACATGTTCTTCGTCTTCCCTTCCACTCTTCTCTTCTTACTTCTGTGAGTCTAGCGGATCTCTCTATCGGGTGTTCTTCGCGATTTTTTATTGTATTGAGCGAAGAATTTATGGGGGCTTGCCTTCGATTCGCCCTTCTGTTCACAATTTTTTTTCTTGTTTGGGTCTCTGGTTCGATTTCAATCCCTAATAAGCAATCGCTGGGTATTGATCCGCAAGGTATTGTCTGCTTGTCACTATATTTCTTCTTATTTTTTTGTCGAAGTTGATTTGTTCCGCCGACCTAATTTGACAGATTTGAGCTATTATAAAAGCAATGTGATTAAATGCAAGGACGGATCAAAGAAATTCACTAAAGAACTGCTTAACGACGACTTCTGTGACTGCCCTGATGGAACAGACGAGCCAGGTTTTTCGCTCAGAGCTGTATTTATTTTAGTTATTTATATATATTTTTTGAATCAATGATGTCTGTTGATTTAAGTTGCTCTTTCAAATTTTAAAGTTTATGAGGTTATGCAGTGCGAAAATCAATTGTTGATTTGGCATACAATAAGATATATGTCTTTGAACGTTTAAGTTTTCATCCTTGATGGAGAGATGGATAAGGCTAAATCACTACAACTAATACCTCTGCTGTGGTCTGACTATTATTTTATGGCGTGCTTTTGCTGATTTGTGTAGTATTTTGGTTGCTGTAGGAACTTCGGCTTGTCCAGAGGGAAAATTCTACTGCCAGAATGCTGGACATGTTCCGGTTAAAATCTTCTCTTCCAGGGTTAATGATGGCATATGTGGTAAGTGCCGTGTAATGGTGCTTTTTTAGGTTCTTTTTGCTTTTAAAACTTGCAAGGTAGCTGAATTCTTGTGCACCATTTGCTGGTGAAAAGAGAGAAAATAGCTATTATTCTTTCTTTCTTTTATGGGGCATTTACATACATATCACAGAATTCTTATATATTTTGATATCTAATACCAAAAATTCAATTTTCTTACATTTATAACAGTTAAATATTTTATACTACATAAAAAATAGCACAATTACTTATTTTAAAAAGTGAAACATACCCTTTTCATGTATAGGTAAAGTGCCATAAATGTTAAAAATCAGAACTTGGATGTTACATATGTAAATAATGTTGTTGGAGATATATATATAGAAATCAAACAGAAGAACGATCGACGAAGCGAAAAATAGAACGAGAAAATTCACACCAGAAAACAGTAACACAGCGGAACACACAGATTTAAGTGGTTCGGAGTGGTTCGGCGTGGTTCGGCAAATTGCCGACGTCCACGAAATTGCAGAGGATTTTACTACTTGAGGATATTACAACAGTCGATCACCTCGACTTACATGAGGAATCTCTTACTTCGTTTTTTTCTCTTCTTCTCTCTTTTTTCTTCTCTCTCTACATCGAGATACACCGAAGAGACTCTACACCGAAGAAACTCTACACCGAAGAAGATAAACTTACAAGAGAAATAAACCCAAATTTTCTTATGACACAAGCCACCAAGAAGAATCCAAGGGAGAGCAATCTTCTTCTTCTTTCTTCTTCGTTCACCGCAAGGAACTACACCTTGCACTTTTTTTCCTCTATCTCGTGGAAGCAGAAACTACCGAAGAAGAACACAAAAAGATGTGTAAAATTTGAAGGAGAGCCATGTGTACTCTCTATTCTTCCTCTTCTGTTCGCAACTTAAAGGATCCTTCGCGGGTGAAGGGAGGCGTCGTTTCGCGAACTTGGAGGCAAGCAATTTGCCAAACCACATGGTCGCGGTCGCGACCTTTCGCGGGAGTCGGAAGTGGGATCGGTGGTTTGCCTGTTTCGCGATCGGGAGGCGGGAGCGGGAAATAGGACCGACGTCTTTGCGGGAACAGTAAAAAATTGGACTCCAGCACAACAAATCTCCCACTTGGAGATCGATACATATGCTACAACGTCTTCTTACTCAAACTGATATCCTCGACTAGCGGCGTCAATTTTTTCTTCAAACATGAATCCTCCACTGACAACGTTGCCCTTGCCCTTTTCTTAAACATGTATTCTTCACCTGTGCAACTCAAATTCTTTGTCTTCACTCCAGAAGACCAACTGAAACTGCATGCAACTTCAGTTTCTCAAGAGTAACAACCTCAGTCAACATATCAACAGGGTCCACATAGCTTTGCACCTCCAAGCTATTTCTTGAATTACTCTTGTCTCTGCTTACAAATCTCACTGTATGGGCATTATCCTGCTTCTGATGAAAGTCTTTTTCAACAAGTCTAGCCTTGTACTTCTTTCTGCCATCATGCTCTGTATTCACCTGGTACACCCACTTGTTGTGTAATGCCTACTTTCCTGGTGGAAGTTCTGTCAGCTCCCACTTGCTCGAACTTTCATCTTGCAAGATTTCTTCATAACTCTGTGGTTCTCCACCATCTTTATGTGAAACAATAGAAATGGGTGCCCCAGACCCATTAATATCTTCACTTTCATCATCAACAGAACTATGAACTGTCAGTAATAGTGCATCTTGTATTTCTTCAGATACCACATTTGCGCTATCATTCTCCATATACTTGCGATTCCTACAGTTCATTTTTATGTGACAAATCTTGACACAATTTCAGAATGTTGCCTGCTGACTAGACTTTAATTTTGATCTCCCTTTATTTGAGTTACTATCCTGCCATCTCTCTTTAAAATCAATATTCAGTGTCGATTTCGTACCTGAGATCTCGTCAGAATCTTTTCTGTACACCTTCTCAACCAAAATCAAATCACGAATATCATCATATTTCAGTTTAGATTTACCTGCAGAACTGCTAACTGTCATCCTCATGGCTTCCCAACTATTTGACAACGATGCCAACAATGTCAGCGCAAATATCTCATTATCAAAATCAATTTCAACAGACGACAATTGATTTGTGATAGTATTGAAATCATTCAGGTGTTGAGTAACAAAAACACATTCTGTCATCTTCAAGTTGAATAACTTCTTCATCAAGTATACATTGTTATTCGCCGATGGTTTTTCATACATACCCGATAAGGCTGCCATGATATTTACAGCCGTCCTCTTCTTGACAACATTGTGTGCAACAAACCTCGATAGGGTCAATCGAATAACCCCCAAAACTTGTCGATCTAACAAATTTCATTCAGCCTCATCCATCCTTTCAGGTTTTTTCCCCAATAACGAAATATGAAGTTTTTTTCCATAGAGGTAATCATCTATCTACATCCTCCAATAACCAAAATCTGTGCCATCAAACTTCTCGATCCCTGAAATCTTCACTTCATCTGTAACCACAATTCTTTCTCAGATTCGAACAAATCTCTGATAGTAGTTGTTGTTGGAGATATATATATATATATATAGAAATCAAACAGGAGAACCATATACGAAGCGAAAAATAGAACGAGAAAATTCATACCAGAAAACAGTATCACAGCGAAACACACAGATTTACGTGGGTCGGCAAATTGCCTACGTCCACGGAGTTGCAGAGGATTTTACTACTTGAGTAATTTACACCAGTCGATCACCTCGACTTACAAGAGGAATCTCTCACTTCGTTGCTCTTTCTTATTCTCTCTCTGTTCTTCTCTCTTTAGTCTGAGATACACCGAAGAAACTCGATACCGAGATACACCGAAGAAGATGAACTTACAAGAGAAATAAACATAATTTTTCTTCTGCCGCAAACCACCAAGAAGAAGCCAAGTGAGAACAATTTTCTTCTTTTTTCTTCTTCCTTCACCGCAAGAAACTACACCTTGCACTTCTCTTCCTCTATCTTGTGGAAGTAGAAACTACCGAAGAATAACATAAAAGGCTGTGTAAAATCTGAAGGAGAGCCGTGTGTACTCTCTATTCTTCCTCTTATGTTTGCAAATTAAAGGAACCTTCGCGGGTGAAGGGAGGCGTCGTTTCGCGAACCTGGAGGCGGGAGTAGTTCTCGAAATCACAGGGTCGCGGTCGCGACCTTTCGCGGGAGTCGGCAGTGGGATCAGCGGTTCGCCGCTTTCACGATCGGGAGGCGGGAGCAGGAAATCGGACCGGCGTCTTTGCGGGAATAGTAAAAAATCGGAATCGGGCTCGAGCACAACAATACATGGGAATTGTGTGGTATGCATGTAAATATTCCTTTTTATTGGTACAATATAGCACTTTTATTTCATCAATGACTTCTTACGTAGTATGCATGTCTTTAGATATGCTGAAACTAGTTATATTTTCTTTTTTTCAAGCAGTGATTATCTTGCTCGTTGGTTATTGGCCTTAACATCATCTTGTAGAGTGATATTATTCAATCCCATAGAAAGTGTAGCATTTCTATATGTACCATTTGGTGTGTGATTTAGTAAAAGTTTTATTGACAGAACTTTTAATGATCTTCTCACTATATGTTTTTTATTTGGGATTTGAGCCACATATCTTTCTTCTCAGAGTTAATTCAGAGTTAAGGGGCAATGCCATTAGATTATGCACTGAATGGCAGATGAAATGATTAATTACTTTTACATCTAATTTTTAGTTGCATTTACGTATGTAGCATATAATTCCTATGTGTTGTGAGATATGTACTTCCTGACATAGAAATGAGACGAAAAAGAACACAAACAAACACAAATCGTTTACGTGGTTCGATCCAACTGGATCTACGTCACGGGAGGGAATCAATCAAATATTTCACTAAGGCAAAAGAAATGGAGAATACATAGCTTATACATAAAGATGAGCCCTCATCTTCCTTTGATGGCCTCCCTCTCAAGCGACACCTTGATACAAGGCCTCAAGATGCTCTCCTCCTCTCTAACTCTATAGCTATTCTCTCCTTCTTTGTGGTAGCTCAAGATATCTTCTCCCTTTCCTCTCCTAAGCCTCACACCCTTAAGATTTCTTCCCTTACTCTCCTAAGCCTCACACCCTCTCTATTTATAGAAGCAAGAGAGTGGTAGGTGAGAGGGAGGTGGGAGGTAGGTGGCCGGTAGGTG